AGCAGTCAAACGACACAAAATTGAAGTCTTTAGTTCTTACCAGCAAAGTCAGCATTAGACAGACTTGTAGTTTATGACTGGCTACAAAAGGCATTATGATAATGTTAATATTTTTGAACTGAAAACGGCAATCTTGCCGTTAAACATGACGATCGATAGATTTCGAGTGTTTATTTTCGTACAAAAAGAGTAAAAGAGTTCGAATTTTTCGAAAACTTTTTTGAAAACGGACGGAGCAACCCAGGACCGGGAAAAAAATATCAGATCAAAAACATAGTCCTTATGTGTCGTGGAACTTGTGGGCACAGATGAATTTACGAAATTAATACGTCTGTGTTCTTTGCTTTTTACTCGTTCTGATCGTAGTCTCTAACTTATTCATAAAAGGCGATCATTTACTACAATCATTCATAAGAATTTTGAAGCTTGAACTGACACCGGATGTATGGTTTGATCACATAACCGTCGAAATCAGAAAATAGCAACGTAATGTCAGAAAAAACAATGATTTATATCTCGCACCAATTGCTGAGCATAGGGGTGGCGCATTTTCTTTACTGATGCGTTACTTTACTGAGTAGAGCAACGCTTTCAAATATCACCGTATGAGTGACGAACAACCGAAAATGTATTGTTTTATCACCTTCCGGACACAATGCGACTAAAGCGTTACTNAAAGTAACGCAAGTAACGCTGCGTTACTCGTTACAAAAGCTATGAAAAATAAACGCATCTCGTTAGTAGTTACTGGTAACGAGTAACGCAGAAACGCATGCGTTCCTCGTTATCAGTAACGCAGAAACGCATGCGTTCCTCGTTATCAGTAACGCAGAAACGCATGCGTTACTCGTTATCAGTAACGCAATAACGCATGCGTTACTCGTTACCAGTAACGCAATAACGCATGCGTTACTGCGTTACCTGTAAAGAAACGATAAAGCGCCACCCCTAGCTGAGCCCATCTTAAAGTCAGCTTCGAATGTAACTGAGATTAAGCAAGAAAAGTTTATAAGAAAACACTCAGCCTGTGTTTTTATGAAAGTTAGTAGTTACTGGTAGTTAAATTAACTACTAACTATTCCAGTTAGTAGTTATTCTAACTACTAACTAAGGTAGTTAGTAACTACAATAACTGCTAAACGAAAAAGCTAGTCAGTTATTCCAACTACTAACTATTCCAGTCGCATATTCAAATGTTTTGTTCAGCTTAAAGTTTTGCCACAAGAAGTTAATTTCTCCATATTAGCATGTCCTACGGGTTGCGGCTTCTGGACTAGCCTGATACAACTTTTTACAGGTTTTCAAACTATTCCAATTTATAGGGCTACCTTCTTTGTATAGAATTCCGCTAAAAGTTTTTCCTTTTATTAGTTAACTTTAGTTGAAAAATGTTTTTATTACTTTTTTGTACTTTTCCAGATGCTAGTATGAAATAACAATGGCTGAAGAAATTCACACCAACCGGTCATTTTTAAGCAAAAGTAAATAATTATTTCATTATATGAAAGCCGTCATCATCTACTCTACTTTAACATTAAAAATTATTTATGTTCTTTTTGAAAAGTTTTGTAGTACATAACTTATTAAAAAAGAGTCTGAAAATATTTTAATTCCACTATAATAGATCCAAACATTTTTTTAAATATTAACAAGAGGTTCCAGTCGTATGAAATAAAACTTGGAACGTTTCTCTATCAAACAAAAAAACAACCTTGAAGTTTGGTTGAGAAATGGCGGAGTTATTAAAAATTTTTATTGTATGGTGATTTATGGGACACCCTGTATATCAGATTACGAACCTTATACATAAAAAAAGAAAAAAAATCCAGAAGATGCCTTAGTCAGGGCCCCAGCGAGCGCCGACCGAAGGGAGGCATGAGCATTGTGTTCGATTTCTAAGTCACCAAAGGGCGTTCGCTTGCGCAGATTCAACTTAATAAAGTCAAGGGACCGAGCGAGTGGAGACGAGCGTTACCTTGTGTCTAACTGAGATACACGTGTATTTCATCCTAAAGAGTTTTTCTGGTTTTGAAGATTCTTGGTTGTCTAGCAACGAACAAAAGCTTAATTGAAAAATCGGTGTGAACAAAAAGATTTTCATTCCCATAACTCGTTGTGTCTAACATTTGAAGAAACTTTCATCAAAATCGGATGTATGGGGGAGGGTGTAAGCGTCAGATGCCCTTGTACTAACAGCTCTCGAAATCCCTATCAACAACTACTACTTTATTTAACAACAATTAATAAACACAATGAGTTTGATAATAATGATAGTCTGTCCTGTTCTTCGTCTTCTAATGTATCGATATAACTAATGTTAACGATATCGATCAATTGCAATGAACGGTTGGTAAATTGGACGCGAAGAAGACGAAGAAGAGAGAGCAAAAGTAAAAATATATTGTCATTAAATGAAATACGAAATTATATTTCAATGTAGAAATATTTTGATTCGAAATGAAATATGTTAGAGTTGAGCTCCTTCTTCTCCGAATGTGAGAGAAGAAGTAGAAGAAGATAGACGACATATATGAAACTCCTCCTTCTCTGAATAGTAGAAAAGAAGATGAAGAGTTTTTGAGTTTTCTCAGGAAAAAGACGAAGAAGAGAAAGAACTGTTTGAAAAGCGAAAGTAGTTACAAAATGTGTCTCGTTTTTCGTATTCCGAATGAAACACTCAATAATTTATTATAATGATGATTTGACTCGGAACTGGTAAAAGGAAAAAGGAAAACCTTAGAATCCTCTAGATTAAACCCTATCTATGATTGATACCTACCCTACCTATGTGATTGATTACCTATGTTTCCATTCGTTTTCGGAATTACCTCACCTAAAGGAATATTGATTCTGGGGCTCTCAGGAACCCCGATGCCACACCTGAACCAGGGATTTCATTTTCACGGATTCCATTTTGCAGAGGACACCCTGGATTATATATCTATGGAAAGAAACTGATAGATTGCTATTTTTCGAAAAAGATTTTGCTTAAGAAAAGGTAGCCAAAACTGTTTTCTTTCGATTGATGAAAACTGCAAATCTCTATCTTTTATCGTCTTTGAGTTAATCTAAAAACGCTAATTAGCATGTCCTGTGTAGAAAGAGTTAGCGTTTTTCTCAAAATCGATTTTTGTGCTAGTGGTCAAACGTCACGCAAATGTTTTTCAAATATAGTTCATTATAGAGAACTGCGGATTTTTTTATTTATTGGGGCACTCGATACTCCTTCGGATGAGGGGAAGGAATTTTTTAATTAGGCTCTAGTTGTGTAGAAAACCGCATCTGTCTGGAACTCCTCTGATGATATTTTAAGGTTTTAGAGGTTTCGACGCTTCCCAAAATTAAAGAAAGCAAGAATAAAAAGATCCCTTCCCCTCAATCGAAGGGTAAGTGGTTCTCTTTCGAATAAAGCAACCCCGGGTTCTGTACCTTGAAGTATAGTGAAAAAGAATTTGCGCAGGCAGAGGGCCCATTCTGAGCCTTGGTCTATAGAAAACTCCTGAACGCTGAGGTCTGGCGACGAAAAAAAATTTCACAACTTTACTTTGATGTGCCCAACATTTGTGGAAAATTGCGTGGCAATCCCATACAGTGTATCGAAAATCGGTTTTGGAGGGGGAGGCGGCCTTAAGAGAAACAAGTAATTACTGAATAAGCACATGGCAGTTCCAGTCAGTGAGTAGGAAGAGGCGACTTCTTCTCACTTTTATTCTCTTAACGTTGAAATTTTTTTTCGATCATTGTGCGCGTGCGAAAATGGATCTCTTAGAAACTGATTGTAATATAAAGATTATGCGTGGTGAGAATGCTGGATAATCGAGAAAAGCTCCAGAAACTAATTGCATCGTGTTCTCCAATACTCTGTCCAGTCATGTAAAAAGAAAAGTTTGGTAAGATTTGCGAGAACACTGTTAACTGAACAAAATAGCCAGAAGTAAGTGAATTAAGCTGTACGGAGACATTCCTAAGACATTTTAAAATAAATGGACTTTTAAATCGATGAAATTAAATGTAGCTTAAGGACCAATTTGTGAATTTAAAAACTTATCTTGCAGTTAACTTAATTTAACTAACGCATTTTGAGAAGGGCAGATTGCTACTAAATTTTGGACCCTGTCCTTTTACACAAACCAAAAACGAATTTTGTTGTAATTTGGCACAAATAACTATAGTGGTGTGCTTACTTATATTATAATATAGAATTTTAAAAAAGTTAACTTTTTAAAATCTTATTTTAAATTTTTTTAATATCTTATAGTAAAAGCCTTATAAAAAAGCATTCTCTTATTAAATTATTAAAGTAAAATATTTTTTATAATATATGACTGTGGCTCTGTAAAGTTAGGATTGCAGAGAGGAATATTTTTTTCTGTTAGTAGAGAAAATAATAAAATAAAATAAATTCATCAGATTCATTAAATTTACGAATTTTTTTACTGATTCTAAACTTTGAATATTGTTCACAAACTTTTTCAACCAAGGTTACTAGCACCACTCTTCATCAATCATCCATAATTCGGTGGCTGTCCTTAAGCGATCTTTTAGAAAGTATTAAAAGATCTTGTGATGCATTGCGAGTCATTTTAACCGAACGTAAAGAAGAACATGGAATCGACAAAATAAACATGACAACCGTTCAACAGCTAATTGATTTTTCTTCAGCCATGGAAATACGTTTTGTGTGAAGTTCAAAAGGGCAGTTCACCATCTTTATTCACCGCTGTTCCCTGTATTGCATTCTTGAAAGCAGATTTAATCAATCGTGAAAAAAAAGAAAAGCAAGGTAAGGTATCGATATTAATGTCGTTGGGTTTTGCTTCTGAATATTTCCTATGTACGTCAAGGAATAGTTCTTGGCATAATCACCCCGAGCAGAAGGTGCAGAAGATAAAAAGTCTTTGAACGAAAAGATACATGGTCTGTCTAACTTAAGTGATTGACCAAAAGGAAGAAGGTGATATTGCGCTAAGCAGTCATTATACAATAGAATCGATTATGATAGGGGCATCACGCATACAGAGGTTTAGTGTTCTATATACAATTAAATGGTTGTTTCGATTTAGGTATGAAATTCTTTGCGAAACGTGCTTACCAAGTATTAAATTCAATGTTTCAAATTGATGATATTCATGCGATGGGTGCATTTCTGCATCCGAATTATAAAACTTTGAGATCAGCAACATCCACACAAATCGACGATTGTCATCAACCTTGTCGCATGGTTATAACGACAAACTCGAAATATGATATTCAGGAAGAATGTATTGAAGAACCACCATCGAAGAAACCAAAGGTTTTTTTTGAGTCTTTAATGGATCATAATCAATCAAACTGCGAAAGATGAAGTTGATAGGTATCTCGAACAAGATCTTCAAGATGAAACATACCTTGGTCCACTTGACTTTTGGAAGAAATACGAATCTAAATTTCCATCTTTATCTCGTTTGGCAAAACGATATTTTGCAATACCATGTAGCTCTGCTGCGGTAGAGCGCGAATTTAGTGCGGCTGGCTAAACCGTAACTCAGCAGCGTTCCTCATTAGAACCATCTACGGCAGAGTTGTAACCGGTCCGGTCCGGCCGTACCGGACCGGTTGAGTGAGTTGGACCGGCCGGTTTTCACCGGTTTTTACCGGTTTCACAAAGTTGTGCATATTCGTTCATTTTTCATCAGAAAGATACTATGTATGGGTGCTTAGT